CCTCGCCTTCGTGGCATGCTCAGTCAGGGACTAGTCACAGGTCTCCCACGCACCTTCCCGTCGCTCCCTCTCTCGCTTGCCCCTCCTTGCTCTCCGTGCGTCGCCGGTCGCTTACGCGCCACTCCCCACTCCTCCTCCCTTCGTCCGGCCACCGCTCCCTTCGAGACTCTCCACTTGGACGTCTGGGGCCCTGCCCCGACGCAGGGGTCTGGGAGGGAGCGTTACTTTCTGGTGGTCGTCGACGACTTCTCCAGGTACACCACAGTGTTCCCTCTTGCGAAGAAGTCCGAGGTGACTGCTACGCTGATCAGGTGGCTTCTAGCCACTGAGGGCACTCGTGGTCGTCGAGTCAGTTGTCTTCACTCCGACCGTGGGGGCGAGTTTCGCTCCGGCATTCTCGGCGGATTCTGCGGCGAACAGGGCATCACCCAGTCCTGGACGCTGCCAGAGTCCCCACAGCAGAATGGGGTTGCTGAGCGCCGCATAGGCTTGGTCATGGACATCGCCCGCACGTCCATGATTCATGCCCGTGCGCCCCATTTTCTGTGGCCCCACGCGGTTCGCTACGCCGCACACCAGCTGAACCTCCAGCCGCGTGTCTCGCGGCCCGAGGCTTCACCGACCAGTCTTTGGACTGGATCCCCTGGTGTTGGGTCGGCCTTTCGAGTCTGGGGCTGCCTTGCACTTGTTCGCGACACCTCCGCGGACAAGCTCTCGGCACGCGCCGTCCCATGTGTCTTCCTTGGTTTCCCAGTGGACTCTGCTGACTGGTCCTTTTACCACCCTCCCCTCCACCAGTTCCTAGACTCCCGTGACGTCCGGTTTGACGAGTCCGTGTCCTACTACACCCGGTACCCCTGTCGAGGTCTCCCGGTACCCCCTCCCCCTCTCTTCCTCGCACCCTCTCCTCCTCCTGCTCCCGCTCCTCCGGTACCCCCGCCCCCCCCAGGTCCTGCCCCGTCTGGTGTGTCCCACGCTACCCCTCTACCCTCGGTCGCGCGTCAGGTAGCGTCTCCCTCCCCGCAGTCCTCCTCACAGTCCCCTCAGCAGCCTTCGGCACTTCCGCGACAGGTTACTTTGGACTCGGTTGGTGTTGGAGCTGGAGGTGCAGCCGCTGGCGGTGCTCGGTCTGGGGGTGCTCGGTCGCGGGGTACTGGAGCTGGAGGTGCTGGCGCACGTGACGCTAGCTCTGGGGGTGCTGGAGCTGGAGGTGCTGGCGCAGGTGGCGCTAGCTCTGGGGGTGCTGGAGCAGGAGGTGCCGGCACTGGAGGTGCTGGTTCTGGGGGTGCTGGAGTTGGGGGTGCTGGCACTGGCGGTGCTAGTTCTGGGGGTGCTGGAGTTGGAGGTCCTGGCACTGGCGGTGCTGGTTCTGGGGGTGCTGAGTCTGAGGGGACTGACGCTGGAGACCCTGGTTCTGCGGAGTCCACTCCGCCTCCCCACCGCCACGACACGCGTCTCCAGGCTGCCCGTCGGCGTGAGCGTGAGGAGCAGGAGCGGTTGGAGAGGGAGCGGCAGGAGCTGCGGGTGCTGGACCTTCTGGATCAGCAGCGGCAGCAGCAGCAGCAGCAGCAGCAGCAGCAGCAGCCGCAGCCGCCGCCGCAGCCGCAGCAGCAGCAGCCGCAGCCGCAGCAGCAGCGGCCGCAGCCGCCACCGCAGCTTCCTCTGGAGCGGCGGTTGTTCCCACCTGTGAGTGGCCTGCGGGCCCTTGGCCTTTCCTCCTCTCCTCCTGTCCGCTCCCAGTCTCCTCCTGTGTTTGTTCCTCCGTTGCCTCCTCCTGACGACCGTCCGGCGGTCTGGTCTTCTCCTCCTCCCTCTGTCCGTCGCGACCTGATCACTCGTTGTCCTCCGCGTGCTCGTCACTCGTCCCCTGTTACTGACCTCCACACTGCCCTCCTTTGTTCGTCTCGTCGTCGTTCTCCTTCTCCTGTGTCCGTTCTCCCGTCTCCTCCTCCGTCCTCCCTACCAGCCCTCCCCACTCCTATCTCTGACTACTACCGCGTTGTTCGTCCTGTTGCCGCACGTGTCCTCGCCACTCTTGTCACCGACTCTCGTTTCCCTCCGTCGTCTGCCTCGGCTCTTACTGCCGCTGTCGCTGAGTTTGCTGCCGCCAGCCACCTTGACTACGCCACCCGTGTGGTGCCAGCTCCTCCCTACCGTCCTCTGTCCGTCGGGGGTGGGTTTGCCCTTGGCTGTGACGTCCTAGAGGACAGAGAGTCTGAGCTGGAGTACTGGGCAGCCGCTTCTCCCTCTGTGTGTGCCATGCTGCTCTCCCCTGAGGGAGACCCCGACGCCCTTGACATACCGACTCCTCGCACTTACCGCGAGGCAGTGTCAGGGGCGTGGGCCTCTCAGTGGAAAGCGGCTATGGACTCAGAGTTGGCGTCTTGGAGATCCACAGGCACCTACGTCGACGCAGTTCCCCCTCCCAGGGCGAACGTAGTCGATGGCATGTGGCTCTTCAAGGTGAAGCGGCCGCCTGGAGCACCGCCGGTGTTCAAGGCGCGCTACGTGGCTAGGGGCTTCAGTCAGCGTGAGGGAGTTGACTTCTTCCAGACCTTCGCCCCGACCCCGAAGATGACTACTCTTCGGGTGTTACTCCACATAGCAGCGCAGCGAGACTACGAGCTGCACTCCCTCGACTTCTCCACTGCGTTCCTCCAGGGCCGACTACACGAGGAGATCTGGCTGCGCCGTCCTCCTGGCTTCACTGACACCTTCCCACCTGGGACCCAGTGGAGCCTGAGGCGACCAGTCTGCGGTCTCCGCCAGTCGCCCCGTGAGTGGCACGACACTCTTCGCTCCACGCTTCGTGACCTTGGGTTCAGCCCGTCCTCCGCCGACCCGTCGCTGTTTGTTCGAGCGGGTTCTGCTCCTTTCTTTATCCTTGTCTATGTCGACGACTTGGTGTTTGCTACAGCAGACAGGGCAGCCCTGGCTCAGGTGAAGTCCGAACTGCAGAAGAGACACAAGTGCACTGACCTGGGTGAGCTGCAGCGCTACCTTGGCCTGCAGATCACCCGGGACAGAGCCGCTCGCACCATCACACTGACGCAGTCACACATGGTGCAGCAGATCCTTCGGCGGTTCGACTTCCAGTTCTCCACCACACAGCCCACTCCTCTTGCTGTTGACCACAGACTCACGGGCCCCTTTCCTGACGAGCCCTTTGAGTCCAGTGGACCCTACGCAGAGCTGGTGGGCTGCCTCATGTACCTGATGACTTGTACTCGACCGGACCTCGCCTTTCCACTCAGCATCCTTTCTCGCTTTGTTGCGACTGGGAGACACCGCCCTGTCCACTGGACAGCTGCTGTGAGGGTGGCGAAGTACCTGGCGACTACATCAGGCATGGGGCTTGTGCTTGGAGGGACTCAGCCAGTGGCGTTGACTGGTCACTGCGACTCTTCCTACGCTGACGACGTGGAGACTCAGCGTTCGACTCAGGGTTACTGCTTCAGTCTGGGAGCTGGTGCTGTGTCGTGGAGGTCTACACGGTCGTCGTCTGTGGCTACTTCCAGTGCAGAGGCAGAGATCTACGCTGGTGCCATGGCGGCACAGGAGCTTCGCTGGTTGACCTTCTTGCTCGCCGACCTTGGTGAGCGGCCTCGCTCTGCACCGACCTTGTACGCTGACAACAAGGCCATGATCCTCCTGTGTCGAGAGCCTCGACTGGAGAGCAGAGTGAAGCATATTGACGTGAGGTACTTCCTCCTGCGAGAGTTGCAGCGACGCGGTCAGGCACGTTTGGACTTTGTGGCCTCACAGGCCAACACTGCCGACGTCTTCACCAAGGCCTTGGCGCCTGGTGACCACCACAGGTTCTGTGTGCAGTTGGGGCTTGTTGAGGTAGGTCCTCGGTTGCTGTAGACTTGCTGTTTGCTCTACTTGTTGTGCTTCTATATATACTAGTAAACTCTTGAACTGGCCTTGTGGCCACTTGCTTGTGCTCGGAGTGTGTGGTGACTCTGAGCGCCACCCTGAGCTTTGTTTTTTATGCTTGTTCTTGACTGGTCTTGTGACCCCTTGTTTCCGTTGGTTGTTTTGATGCCCCTCACTTAGCCTATGGGGGTGTGTCAAATGTTTATATATTCTATATATTGTTCGATAGGCTACTGTGAGTTGCCCTCTAAAGGGTACAACACTTAAGGTCGACATTTGTATCTCCTTGTCCCTCCTTACTCAAACATTTACTCTCGACACTTGTCTCCTAGCCTATCTTAAGAGTTTGACAACGTTGACGGCTGTGCTTACATTAAATGCAAAATTATGTATACCGTAACGGTACATTCCTGTGTGGACACTTGTGTCTCAATCCCCCTTTTCCCGAGTCGCGCCTGTAAATTTGCCCATCCTCGCGTCACAACAAACTGATGTACCGAGACATTGTGCGACTGAAAGAGGGGTACAGTTGGCGGCCTTTTATTGGCCGACCCCATTTGACTCGATCCTTGACGTTTTGGCGCCGGGCAGAGTTGCAAAACCAATGTGCATGAAACGGGTCCCACAAAGCTGGGCACAGTAACGCATATTGCAAATGAGGCGCCACGAGTTGGTATAGGAACAACACACACAGGTGCAAGGCAATTGCACTAGTACAAGTACAAGATCTGGAAACCTAGACCTTGTATATGTTGTCTTGGGTTCCCATGTAATATAGTCACAAGGTAGGACCTCAAACATGCACTAATGAGTGATCTATATGCAACATATGTACAGTGCTGGCCTTTAGAGATTGTACATAAAGCAGGACTCTACCGTAGCCCCTTCCTAACTCTGCTACAGAAATCTAAAAAGATCCCAGCGCAATAATTCTCTACAACATTCCTCCCGGGGTGTCTTGGCTAGCGAGAAATTCTCAATGAAAAGCAGTTTTTTAGTTCGGTAAAAGAACGAAGTGAATTCTGGAGGAGACGGCAGGTGCAGATGAGAGGGGATTCAAGAAGGCTGCTTGTTAGAAGTCACTATGAGTGGCGCAGTGGGTGCCGCAGTGCGTGCAGCGTTCAGTGAACAGCGGGAGGTGGAGGGACAAGAGCAGGCGAGACATGGTTGCTGTGAGGGACAACTGCTGGTAGATGGCCCACTAGAGAAGCAGCAGCAGGAGCAGCAGCAGCAGGACCAGCAGCGGCAACAGGGTCAGAGTGAGCGAGATGTGGCAGGGGAGGGTGGGATGCCCCGTGCCGTGCTGCTTCACGAAGAGGAGAGTCATGTGATGCCGTGTCATGAGACCCATGTGCATCTGCCATGGGAAGCAAGAGGACGAGAGGCACATGAGAGGTTAATACATAATCGAATGAATCCAATGATTTTCTGTATATTTTTCTTCCATCACGGATTGTATAAGCTTGCTTGCACCAGACACCAGTTTAATGTACTTTCTATTTCAACCGTTATATCCTCCACTGTACAATCATTCGCAGTGCTCACCTCGTTTCCACAGTACAGCGGGCCTCGGGGCGTCGTTCTTAGCGAGGTACAGCCCACACGCGTTGCACAGGTGTTGCCCCCCCCCCGCCCTGTCCTTCCGCCAGAACGGGGTCGTGTGCGTGCCGCAGTTACTGCACTCCTTCTCCTCTCCCCCATCCCCTTTCCCATGCGTCCCCCTTTCCGCGCTCTCTCCCGATTCCCCCGCGCTCCCCCTGTCGTGATGGGCGCCGTTCCCCCCCGCAACCTCCTCGCCCTCCCCGCCTACTGTGTGCTCTGCGCACCCCCTCCGCCTGCGCCGCTTCCGCGCGTGGGTGTCGTCGTCCCCGGCGTCCGCCTTCCCGTCTCCCAGCCTTCTCTTATCCCCGATACACGCATGCCCTTCTAACGCCATAAGAGAGCTCGGCCTCATACTCGCCCCCACTTCCCCGTACCCGGGGAAAGGCCACCCAAACGGGGGAAACTGCGCGCATCTGGCTCCGCCAAGGCCCGCTCCGGAGATCATCCGCGCAGCCATACCGGGCGCAATTGTCGGCAGGACGCCACACAAGGGGAGGGGGGAAGGCCGCGCAGGGAGGTGCGCCAAACCCAGACCTTGAGCGGCTTGCGGAAGTTGGGCGGAGAAGGGGGTGAGATACGGGCTGCTGACGTGGCATGACTCCGCCGAGGCGCAAGCGGGGCCCGGATGCACGGGGGAGGAATCGGCGGAAGCGGACTCACGAGGCTCCTTGAGTTGCTTCCACGGACGGAAACCGGAACTTCCGCCGACTGCTGCGGAGGGAAGCGCGGGTTTCTCCGCAAAGGGCTGCTGCACTTTCGGAGCGTCCGCGCGGGGCGGGGAGCTCGGAGCCAGCGGAACCAGCGGCGCCAGCGGCGGCGGCGGCAGCGGCATCTGAGAAAAGTGCTGGTTCCACGAAGCGGCATCTGCGGCGGCGGATGCGCAGGGGTTGGCTGGAGGCGGGCAGAAGTAGATATATGGCTGCATGGCAGGTGAGACATGCTGAAGCCGTTGCTGCAGCTGCTGCTGAAATGCCTGATGCTGAATTGGCTGCTGTAGCTGTTGCTGCGGCGGCTGCTGCGGCGGTTGCTGCGACAACAGCTGTTTCTGTGGCTGCAGCGGCACGAGGGGGGGCGGGAAGGGAACAAACGGCCCCCACCAGGTGCCTGCGGCCGGCACGGGCGGTAAAGCCGGCATGCCACGGCTCCCAGCGGGTAGAAACGAAGGGATAAGAGTCGCAGCGGGAGCGGGCTGGATGCTAACCGGTTTCCTCTCGGGTACTGGCACCGGCGCTGGCTCTGCCGCTTCTTTTTTCTCGCGTGATTTTAAAGCCTTAATTCTCGCTTCTGGTTCCGGCTGCTCCTTACTGGGGCTTCGTTTCTGGCGACACGGCGCTGCGACAGTGGTTGACACGGCGAGAGGCGATACGACACCATTCTGAGCACCAATGCTTTTGGGTGCCTGTCTGTCGCTGTCGGCTTTGTCTTTAATCGCGTCTGAGTCGAGAGTGTGCCAAAGGCTAAGCTTAATGGGGACACCTGTGGCAGCGACGTCAGCGATTGGAGCGAGAGGAGCGGAAGGGCTGCAGTGGTTGGGAGACGTGGGGGTGGAGCGAGGGGAAGGAGGGTCCCGAACGGGCGTGGTTGGGAAAAACTGGAAAGCGGAGTGCACACATTCGCATGGCTGCTGGCTGTTCGTGTTACAGAATGGAGCCAAGCACGTTTCAGTGGGTGAGGTGTGAGCGACTAGTGTAATTTCGCTTGCGGATGTCAGGAAATTCTCTTGCTTTTTGCACGTCGCAGTAAGGTGTTCCATTGTCGCGCGAGAACTTGATAGGAGAAGATAGAGCGGGTCGTAAAGAGCATAACGCACATTAAGGCGTCTAATCTGAACGGAGGCCCTGACGAGGTGTGCTCTACTTGAAGTGTAACGAAGTTGAAATGCTAGAAAAATGATCCGTCAAATGCTGTTGTATCTGCAGCAAAAATGCTCTCCTGCAGTCTTCTCTCCTCCACTCCAGCTGCTGCTGTTGGCCGAGATGCAGTCGCGGTGCGGAGGAGGGGCGATGCGTAGGCGAGTGACGGATGGATAGGATACACGGAGTGTGGAGAAATACCATGGAATAAAACGGAGTTTGAGAGGGTTCCGCTGGTTTCCACAGGAAGTTCAGTTCGGTTGAACCTCCGATTTCCACCACCCCTCCATTAATCATTCCTACCATCTCCCGCCCCTCCCGAACCCTTACCTAACCGAGCCTCAGGTGACTCGTCTGAGTGCCTTCCAAACCACCTCTCGAACCATCCCAGCTGCCTCATCCGTCATCCCTTTCTCCCAACTTCCAGGTTTTCGTTTCCCTGGGGTTGCTTTTCCCTGCCTTGGGATTGCTTGTTCCCCTTTCCGCAACCGGACGGGCGAATCGCGCGAGAGGTAGGCTAGTCAGCGAGAGATCGCGGTGCCAAGTGGATGGGGGGAAAAGCGAAGGGATGGAAAAGCGGCCACTGTGGATCAGCATTGGACGGAAGACGATAACGGAAAATTACCTTACCTGATGCGGACACCACATCTTGGGGATGTGCAGATGTCGACGTGGTGATCCCAACTCCCACTGAGTTCGGACTAGGCACGTCAGCATGGTGAGGGTTGCGAATGAGTAAATGGTGACGATCAAGTGAGCCAGCACAGATGCGGGAAAGTCGTCAGTGGTCCCATGATCTGTCTCAGATCGACGTGTTTCGCTTGCAGCTGAGTCCTGCTGATCCACACGTCGCGGATCACCGACAAAGCTTTCAATCAACTGAGATTGAATACGTGGAAAGTGTAGCATTTGTGTCATTGGTAGCCACGTAGCCATGATGTCAAGTAGAGTCACATACACGCCTTCCCGGACTCGTTACCAACAACCTTCTTCAATGACAACCACGAGTTCAAGTCCAGTCGAGAATCTAGTGGCGCACAGTCAGAATTCTGCGGCTGACGAATGGGAATCGATATATTTTGCTGAGCGTGCTAGCTCGTGGTCAGAGCTAGCCGTGAACACGTAACACTTGGTTCTATTTTACACGCCAGAAATAAAGCTTGGCGTCTGGAAAGGTCCAGCATCAAGCACATCTGATTTCCCAGCCACGTTGGTTCCTTGTCAGTCGCCTTGATCCTGTCCATTTGTTGAGGATAAGGGACCCGTAGGCAGTTCGCCGAAAGCATGGCAAAATGCATGTGTCGGGCCTTCAAATTATCCACCTAGCGAATCAGCCATTACAGAGTTATGGTACAGTATTTTCAGTGGTAAAGCTAGGCATTGACATACGCATCTACTTATAAAAGTAGAGTGCACATGCAAGGGAATCGTTATAATAACAATATATAAGTACTAGGACATGTGAGATGGACATGCATGCAAAAAATCTATGTCTGGGTATCATTGTGAATTTAATGGGTAGTTTTGGCATACTGTGCAGATAACAATTATATCCGTATGTTTGTGTGTGTAAAACTGTTGACATATGGCTTATGGATGGATGAAACTGATGCTGAGAAACTGCTGCTGGATATATAGAACTTACACGAATACGTTTCTAGAAGCAACCTCAATTCCCCTCCCTGAATCTTCGGTCGGGTTTTGCCTTGCCGAGTTGCTGCGCTGGTTTGTTGCCACCAGCATGCAAACCAAGGGACCGGCAAGCAGAGGTGTTCTTGCTTTCCTTTGGTGGGTGGTGGTTGGGACAAGGCCCAAGCAACCCCGTATGCATGATTGGTTGAGCGAGTCACGCGCAGGCCACTAGCGACGGTAGTTCACAACGCGTCGTTGACAGTGACTTGCTGCTGCAGTCGTTATGGTTTACTGGAAGATGTAGCAGACTAGCCGGCGTGTACCTAACTGATCATCGGTTAATCTCATAGGAGTGAATCTGACAGCAGCTTCTAGGTTAGGTTAGCGTCCCTTTTCAGTTTTTTATTAGGGTTAGCGAGGATGGGAAAGAATCAGCAGTACAAGGCGGCGCAACGAGCCAAGTCGATGAGCCGTGGGGGTGGCGGTGGTGGCGGCGACGAGGAGAGCAGTGATGGAATGGTAATAATGTTTGCACCTGGTGTGCTGCAATCTCTCGCGCTCTTATTATGTGCTATCGGTTCTCGTTTTTCTCGTTTTCGTTGTAGTGCACGTATGCTGTGATTTCTTCATGGTACAACGGATTACTAATTCAGCCATTGGCAGATTGATGGATCCTTCCATTCTCCAGCATGGCATGCTGCACGCCTGGCAGCCTTGCAGACGACCAACACGCTCACGTGGGAGGAGTGGAAGGCTCAACGAAAGGTATGCTGCAATCTCTACATATCGATAGACAAATAATCGATCAGCATTCTTGGTCGTAGCTGGTAAAACCATCATATTTATCTGAGATTCTATACGCTTAGCTTCCGTAAATTCTCTACCTCCTTAGTGCAGGCCGTGATTGATTATGATTGTGCTTGTCTCACTCGGCGCGCTGTGCGAGCAGGAGGAGGCGAGGAAACAGCAGGAAATGGAGGGTTTTGAGGAGGTGCGGATGAAGGAGTACCGGGCACAATTGGACAGCGAGCGAGAAGCGAGGCTGTCGCGAGGACGAAATCACGCAGATAAACGCGGGAAGCTAAAAAAGAGTGCGTCTAGTTCGTAAATAGTCATGCTTTTTCTTGCAAGGATTTCATGGCTATCGATCCACTGATCATTCTTTTAATTTGTTCTATTTCTTTCACCCTGGCTCTGTTTGTGCAGACAAGGACAAAGATAAGAGCAAGAAGAAGGTAAGCAGATTTTACTGCAATTCCATGCTTTACTCTTGTTTCCTGTTGATTGTCTTCACCGCTTTCTGAGACGTGATTGCTCCTCACATATAACTATTGCATGGCTATTGTCTGACTTCGTATTTTGCATTATTTAGAAGAAGAGCAAGCGCAAAAAGGGTGGCTCTGAAAGTGACTCAAGCAACTCGAGCAGCAGCGAGGATGACAGCGACAAGAAGAAGAAGAAAAAGAAGAAATCTAAGAAAGATCCAGATGCTTTGAGCAGTGCAAGTGAGGAGGAGGAAGGTCCGGTTCGGCTATCTTCCTTCCTAGAGAAGGGAGATGACGACCTTCCAGGGTCTGACGATGAGGATGAGCCGCTGCCGGCTAAAAGTAAAGAGAAGGGCGGAGATTTATCAAGCATTTTAGCCGAAGCAAAGAGAAGAGCGGAGATTGGGGCTCACATGGTGGCTGAAGTAAAGAAGGCTGATTTGATCCAGTCTGGCCTTCCCTCCTGACTGCTCCTTTAGCTCTTCTAGCAGCCACCCTTCTCACCCTGATTCCATTTCACCTCACCCTCTATCAGGGTGAACTGATTTATAGCCAATGGTTGGGAATGGTATTTGCCCTTGTGTGCTTCCTTTAGGACAGTGAGTTGATTGATGGCTTTCACCTTGTTAGATGGTTACAGAAGTTGCACTTGTAGGAGCAAGTTGCTCCATCCAGCAGTCTAATTTACAGCACATCTGCTTGAGTGCGCCACAGAACAGTCAAGCTCACCAACAAACCCCTTGCCCAGTTAGCCTAGCCTGGTAGCGAAGCTGAACACCTCTTTCCTGCAAGCCAAGCCGTGACAACGAAGAACAATGCCCGGCTGCACTTGCTTATTCTACCCTCCATGCCCACACAGCCTACACAGGCTGGCTGCATGGGCTTATTTATTCCTTGCAACCGCAGATCATTCGCCCATTCCTAATTCACCATTTGCGAAAGCAGCTACTGCATTGATGAGCCAGAGGAGCTCAGAAAGCAAGCCAGCTGGGTTTCATGGAAAATTTGGACCCAGCCCAACTGCACCCAGACCAATCGCACCCATCCCAACTCCGCCCCTGGCATCACCACTTGGGGTTCTGCCCAGCAACGTCCAGCCAGGAGCTGAGGTCAACAAACGGCTCGGGGTCGAATTGGGACGCATCGGATATGATGCCGGGGTGCACCCACGATGCCCGGCTGGCAGCATTGCCCGGCCCCGTGCTGCCCTTCTCTGCATAGTACACACAGCTGCCCTTGCTGTCGCCCCCCCACGTGCTCCACCCGTCCCGCTCCAACTCCTGTGGGATAGAGTTGAGAGGAGAGGGGGATAGGGAGGAGCAAGGTGAGAGGGAGAGGGGTGGGGATGAGACTGTGTGGTACACGCAGCTGCTTTTGCTGTTGCCTCCCACATTCACCACCTGTCTCACTCCAACTCCTTTAAAAGGGGAAGGAGGGGAGGGGGAGAGGATGGAGGGAGGGCAGGGTACTCCTCAGCGACTCAAAGCCTGCGACTTAAAGACTTGGGTGTTAAGGCGACTTACTGCAGGCATGTAGCTGTCAACGAAGACGGTGCGAGCACATGCCTTCCAGGGCCGCCCCAGGTAGACCTGTGAGACTTATAAGCTGTGTGCATGTACAGTGACTCACAGCTGGCATGTAGCTGTAGACGAAGTCAGTGCGAGCGCAGTCCTTCCAGGGCCGCCCCAGGTAGGCGTTGGTCACTCCCTTACCTATCCCCACCCTCACTGTTCCCCACCCCTTACAAGCTGTGTGCATGTACAGTGACTCACAGCAGGCATGTAGCTGTCCACGAAGACGGTGCGAGCACACTCCTTCCAGGGCCGCCCCAGGTAGACCTCCGAAACCCCAGAGTCCACTGAGATCTTGGCGTTGCGAATGACAATGCCCGTTGGCGTGTTGCTCTCCCGCCCTGATGCCGTAATGGTTGAGAAGGAGCTGAACGGAGAGGACGGGGGAGGGGAGGGCGGAATGGGGGGTACAGGGGGTTGAGTGAGGGGAGAGGGCCGCCCCAGGTAGACCTCCGAGATCCCAGAGTCGACTGAGATCTTGACATTGCAAATGACAATGCCCGTCGGCGTGTTGCTCTCTCTGCCTGATGCCGTGATGGTTGAGAATGAGCTGTAGGGGGAGGGAAGGATGAGAGCATAAGTGCAGGATGAGTGTGGGAGAGAGCGGAGAAGGGGGGCTAGTGTGGGGGAAGAGGGGGAGGCCGCCCCAGGTAGACCTCGGAGACGCCCGAGTCGACGGAGATCTTGGCGTTGCGAATGACAATGCCCGTCGGCATGTTGCTCTCCCTCCCTGACGCCGTGATGGTTGCAAATGAGCTGCGTGGTGATGGGTGTGGAGGTGAGAGCAGTGTGGGGAGAGGCAAGTGCGAGGAGAGGGCAGTGGGAGGAGAGGGTGGTTGGCAAATTAGTTGCGAATGACAATGCCCGTCGGCATCCATGAGGGTTGCAAACGAGCTGCGAGGGGGGGAAGGAGGGGAATGATAGGCATGAGAACCTGGGCATGAGAACGGGGAGGAAAGCGACGAGAGCCAAAAAAAAAAAAAAAAAAAAACTCAGCCGCCTTGCCCACCTGCTCTTGTGCACGACGATGGTGGGGCTGTCTATCACCACTGCAGCGTCGCCAAAGATGAAGTCAATGGTGCCGCCGATGTAGCAGTCCTTGTAATACTGCCTCCCTGCGTCCACATACAGGGTGTCCTGAAGGGCGAGAGCGGGAAACGAAGGGAGAAGGGAGAGGAGAGACAGCAGATGTGTTGAGTTGTGAGCATGAAGTCAATGGTGCCGCCGATGTAGCAATCCTTGTAGAACTGCCTTCCCGCATCCACGCATAGCGTGTCCTGAAGGGTGAGAGTGAGAAAAGGGAGAAGGGAAAGGGGGGAGGAGAGACAACAGCGTGTATGAGCATCAAGGCAATGGTGCCGCCAATGTAGTACTGCCAATCCTTGTAGTAATCCAATCCTCCCTACAGTGGCCGCTGGCCCTCATGGCAACAACAGTGGCCGCTGGCCCTCATGGCAACAACAGTGGCCGCTGGCACTCATGGCAACAACAGTGGCCGCTGGCCCTCACGGCAACAACAGTGGCCGCTGGCCCTCACGGCAACAACAGTGGCCGCTGGCCCTCATGGCAACAACAGTGGCCGCTGGCCCTCATGGCAACAACAGTGGCCGCTGGCCCTCATGGCAACAACAGTGGCCGCTGGCCCTCATGGCAACAACAGTGGCCGCTGGCCCTCGTGGCAACAACAGTGGCCGCTGGCCCTCATGGCAACAACAGTGGCCGCTGGCCCTCATGGCAACAACAGTGGCCGCTGGCCCTCATGGCAACAACAGTGGCCGCTGGCCCTCATGGCAACAACAGTGGCCGCTGGCTCTCATGGCAACAACAGTGGCCGCTGGCCCTCATGGCAACAACAGTGGCCGCTGGCCCTCATGGCAACAACAGTGGCCGCTGGCCCTCATGGCAACAACAGTGGCCGCTGGCCCTCATGGCAACAACAGTGGCCGCTGGCCCTCATGGCAACAACAGTGGCCGCTGGCCCTCATGGCAACAACAGTGGCCGCTGGCCCTCATGGCAACAACAGTGGCCGCTGGCCCTCATGGCAACAACAGTGGCCGCTGGCCCTCATGGCAACAACAGTGGCCGCTGGCCCTCATGGCAACAACAGTGGCCGCTGGCCCTCATGGCAACAACAGTGGCCGCTGGCCCTCATGGCAACAACAGTGGCCGCTGGCCCTCATGGCAACAACAGTGGCCGCTGGCCCTCATGGCAACAACAGTGGCCGCTGGCCCTCATGGCAACAACAGTGGCCGCTGGCCCTCATGGCAACAACAGTGGCCGCTGGCCCTCATGGCAACAACAGTGGCCGCTGGCCCTCATGGCAACAACAGTGGCCGCTGGCCCTCATGGCAACAACAGTGGCCGCTGGCCCTCATGGCAACAACAGTGGCCGCTGGCCCTCATGGCAACAACAGTGGCCGCTGGCCCTCATGGCAACAACAGTGGCCGCTGGCCCTCATGGCAACAACAGTGGCCGCTGGCCCTCATGGCAACAACAGTGGCCGCTGGCCCTCATGGCAACAACAGTGGCCGCTGGCCCTCATGGCAACAACAGTGGCCGCTGGCCCTCATGGCAACAACAGTGGCCGCTGGCCCTCATGGCAACAACAGTGGCCGCTGGCCCTCATGGCAACAACAGTGGCCGCTGGCCCTCATGGCAACAACAGTGGCCGCTGGCCCTCATGGCAACAACAGTGGCCGCTGGCCCTCATGGCAACAACAGTGGCCGCTGGCCCTCATGGCAACAACAGTGGCCGCTGGCCCTCATGGCAACAACAGTGGCCGCTGGCCCTCATGGCAACCGCCTGGTGGTTCTGTGGCCCGGCTGGTTCTACGGGAGGGAGCGCTGTGCTCAACTTGTTGCCTGTGCTCACCTGGTTCGCCTCGAAGGCGCACTCAAAGAAGGCGGAGCGGTCCCCACTGGCCCTCATGGCAACCACGGTGCCTAGTCAGTCAACTCCAAAGGAGGGCCATCCGCACCCATTCGCACCCATCCGCACCTGGTTCGCCTCGAAGGCACACTCAAAGAAGGCAGAGCGGCCGCCGCTGGCCCTCATGGCCACTGCCTGGTGGTTTGACAGTCAACTCAAAGGCGAGGGGAAGAAGAGGCGGAGGGAGAGAGGGAAGGAGCGCCGTGCTCACCTGGTTCGCCTCGAAGGCACACTCAAAGAAGGCGGAGCGGTCCCCACTGGCCCTCATGGCCACCGCCTGGTGGTTCTGCGGCCCGGCTGTGTTCTCAAAGCGGATGCCCAACGCACAGAACCGCTCCTTGTTGGCTCCTGATGGTACAGTCACGCACAGTAACGGGAGACACCATAACGGGGCACATGAGGATAAGGGGAGACTATTAGAGGTGGTTCTGCGGCCCGGCCTTGTTCTCAAAGCAGATGCCCAGCGCACAGAACCGCTCCTTGTTTGCTCCTGCCGGTGCACAGTCACAGGGGAACACGTCATAAGGGCACGCAGGGAAGGAAGTAAGGTGTGCTGTGCGGTGCCTTGCAGGTGCTGCTGCTCGGCTGTGTTCTCAAAGCAGATGCCCAGCGCACAGAACCGCTCCTTGTTTGCTCCTGCCGGTGCACAGTCACAGGGGAACACGTCATAAGGGCACGCAGGGAAGGAAGTAAGGTGTGCTGTGCGGTGCCTTGCAGGTGCTGCTGCTCGGCTGTGTTCTCAAAGCAGATGCCCAGCGCACAGAACCGCTCCTTGTTTGCTCCTGCCGGTGCACAGTCACAGGGGAACACGTCATAAGGGCACGCAGGGAAGGAAGTAAGGTGTGCTGTGCGGTGCCTTGCAGGTGCTGCTGCTCGGCTGTGTTCTCAAAGCAGATGCCCAGCGCACAGAACCGCTCCTTGTTTGCTCCTGCCGGTGCACAGTCACAGGGGAACACGTCATAAGGGCACGCAGGGAAGGAAGTAAGGTGTGCTGTGCGGTGCCTTGCAGGTGCTGCTGCTCGGCTGTGTTCTCAAAGCAGATGCCCAGCGCACAGAACCGCTCCTTGTTTGCTCCTGCCGGTGCACAGTCACAGGGGAACACGTCATAAGGGCACGCAGGGAAGGAAGTAAGGTGTGCTGTGCGGTGCCTTGCAGGTGCTGCTGCTCGGCTGTGTTCTCAAAGCAGATGCCCAGCGCACAGAACCGCTCCTTGTTTGCTCCTGCCGGTGCACAGTCACAGGGGAACACGTCATAAGGGCACGCAGGGAAGGAAGTAAGGTGTGCTGTGCGGTGCCTTGCAGGTGCTGCTGCTCGGCTGTGTTCTCAAAGCAGATGCCCAGCGCACAGAACCGCTCCTTGTTTGCTCCTGCCGGTGCACAGTCACAGGGGAACACGTCATAAGGGCACGCAGGGAAGGAAGTAAGGTGTGCTGTGCGGTGCCTTGCAGGTGCTGCTGCTCGGCTGTGTTCTCAAAGCAGATGCCCAGCGCACAGAACCGCTCCTTGTTTGCTCCTGCCGGTGCACAGTCACAGGGGAACACGTCATAAGGGCACGCAGGGAAGGAAGTAAGGTGTGCTGTGCGGTGCCTTGCAGGTGCTGCTGCTCGGCTGTGTTCTCAAAGCAGATGCCCAGCGCACAGAACCGCTCCTTGTTTGCTCCTGCCGGTGCACAGTCACAGGGGAACACGTCATAAGGGCACGCAGGGAAGGAAGTAAGGTGTGCTGTGCGGTGCCTTGCAGGTGCTGCTGCTCGGCTGTGTTCTCAAAGCAGATGCCCAGCGCACAGAACCGCTCCTTGTTTGCTCCTGCCGGTGCACAGTCACAGGGGAACACGTCATAAGGGCACGCAGGGAAGGAAGTAAGGTGTGCTGTGCGGTGCCTTGCAGGTGCTGCTGCTCGGCTGTGTTCTCAAAGCAGATGCCCAGCGCACAGAACCGCTCCTTGTTTGCTCCTGCCGGTGCACAGTCACAGGGGAACACGTCATAAGGGCACGCAGGGAAGGAAGTAAGGTGTGCTGTGCGGTGCCTTGCAGGTGCTGCTGCTCGGCTGTGTTCTCAAAGCAGATGCCCAGCGCACAGAACCGCTCCTTGTTTGCTCCTGCCGGTGCACAGTCACAGGGGAACACGTCATAAGGGCACGCAGGGAAGGAAGTAAGGTGTGCTGTGCGGTGCCTTGCAGGTGCTGCTGCTCGGCTGTGTTCTCAAAGCAGATGCCCAGCGCACAGAACCGCTCCTTGTTTGCTCCTGCCGGTGCACAGTCACAGGGGAACACGTCATAAGGGCACGCAGGGAAGGAAGTAAGGTGTGCTGTGCGGTGCCTTGCAGGTGCTGCTGCTCGGCTGTGTTCTCAAAGCAGATGCCCAGCGCACAGAACCGCTCCTTGTTTGCTCCTGCCGGTGCACAGTCACAGGGGAACACGTCATAAGGGCACGCAGGGAAGGAAGTAAGGTGTGCTGTGCGGTGCCTTGCAGGTGCTGCTGCTCGGCTGTGTTCTCAAAGCAGATGCCCAGCGCACAGAACCGCTCCTTGTTTGCTCCTGCCGGTGCACAGTCACAGGGGAACACGTCATAAGGGCACGCAGGGAAGGAAGTAAGGTGTGCTGTGCGGTGCCTTGCAGGTGCTGCTGCTCGGCTGTGTTCTCAAAGCAGATGCCCAGCGCACAGAACCGCTCCTTGTTTGCTCCTGCCGGTGCACAGTCACAGGGGAACACGTCATAAGGGCACGCAGGGAAGGAAGTAAGGTGTGCTGTGCGGTGCCTTGCAGGTGCTGCTGCTCGGCTGTGTTCTCAAAGCAGATGCCCAGCGCACAGAACCGCTCCTTGTTTGCTCCTGCCGGTGCACAGTCACAGGGGAACACGTCATAAGGGCACGCAGGGAAGGAAGTAAGGTGTGCTGTGCGGTGCCTTGCAGGTGCTGCTGCTCGGCTGTGTTCTCAAAGCAGATGCCCAGCGCACAGAACCGCTCCTTGTTTGCTCCTGCCGGTGCACAGTCACAGGGGAACACGTCATAAGGGCACGCAGGGAAGGAAGTAAGGTGTGCTGTGCGGTGCCTTGCAGGTGCTGCTGCTCGGCTGTGTTCTCAAAGCAGATGCCCAGCGCACAGAACCGCTCCTTGTTTGCTCCTGCCGGTGCACAGTCACAGGGGAACACGTCATAAGGGCACGCAGGGAAGGAAGTAAGGTGTGCTGTGCGGTGCCTTGCAGGTGCTGCTGCTCGGCTGTGTTCTCAAAGCAGATGCCCAGCGCACAGAACCGCTCCTTGTTTGCTCCTGCCGGTGCACAGTCACAGGGGAACACGTCATAAGGGCACGCAGGGAAGGAAGTAAGGTGTGCTGTGCGGTGCCTTGCAGGTGCTGCTGCTCGGCTGTGTTCTCAAAGCAGATGCCCAGCGCACAGAACCGCTCCTTGTTTGCTCCTGCCGGTGCACAGTCACAGGGGAACACGTCATAAGGGCACGCAGGGAAGGAAGTAAGGTGTGCTGTGCGGTGCCTTGCAGGTGCTGCTGCTCGGCTGTGTTCTCAAAGCAGATGCCCAGCGCACAGAACCGCTCCTTGTTTGCTCCTGCCGGTGCACAGTCACAGGGGAACACGTCATAAGGGCACGCAGGGAAGGAAGTAAGGTGTGCTGTGCGGTGCCTTGCAGGTGCTGCTGCTCGGCTGTGTTCTCAAAGCAGATGCCCAGCGCACAGAACCGCTCCTTGTTTGCTCCTGCCGGTGCACAGTCACAGGGGAACACGTCATAAGGGCACGCAGGGAAGGAAGTAAGGTGTGCTGTGCGGTGCCTTGCAGGTGCTGCTGCTCGGCTGTGTTCTCAAAGCAGATGCCCAGCGCACAGAACCGCTCCTTGTTTGCTCCTGCCGGTGCACAGTCACAGGGGAACACGTCATAAGGGCACGCAGGGAAGGAAGTAAGGTGTGCTGTGCGGTGCCTTGCAGGTGCTGCTGCTCGGCTGTGTTCTCAAAGCAGATGCCCAGCGCACAGAACCGCTCCTTGTTTGCTCCTGCCGGTGCACAGTCACAGGGGAACACGTCATAAGGGCACGCAGGGAAGGAAGTAAGGTGTGCTGTGCGGTGCCTTGCAGGTGCTGCTGCTCGGCTGTGTTCTCAAAGCAGATGCCCAGCGCACAGAACCGCTCCTTGTTTGCTCCTGCCGGTGCACAGTCACAGGGGAACACGTCATAAGGGCACGCAGGGAAGGAAGTAAGGTGTGCTGTGCGGTGCCTTGCAGGTGCTGCTGCTCGGCTGTGTTCTCAAAGCAGATGCCCAGCGCACAGAACCGCTCCTTGTTTGCTCCTGCCGGTGCACAGTCACAGGGGAACACGTCATAAGGGCACGCAGGGAAGGAAGTAAGGTGTGCTGTGCGGTGCCTTGCAGGTGCTGCTGCTCGGCTGTGTTCTCAAAGCAGATGCCCAGCGCACAGAACCGCTCCTTGTTTGCTCCTGCCGGTGCACAGTCACAGGGGAACACGTCATAAGGGCACGCAGGGAAGGAAGTAAGGTGTGCTGTGCGGTGCCTTGCAGGTGCTGCTGCTCGGCTGTGTTCTCAAAGCAGATGCCCAGCGCACAGAACCGCTCCTTGTTTGCTCCTGCCGGTGCACAGTCACAGGGGAACACGTCATAAGGGCACGCAGGGAAGGAAGTAAGGTGTGCTGTGCGGTGCCTTGCAGGTGCTGCTGCTCGGCTGTGTTCTCAAAGCAGATGCCCAGCGCACAGAACCGCTCCTTGTTTGCTCCTGCCGGTGCACAGTCACAGGGGAACACGTCATAAGGGCACGCAGGGAAGGAAGTAAGGTGTGCTGTGCGGTGCCTTGCAGGTGCTGCTGCTCGGCTGTGTTCTCAAAGCAGATGCCCAGCGCACAGAACCGCTCCTTGTTTGCTCCTGCCGGTGCACAGTCACAGGGGAACACGTCATAAGGGCACGCAGGGAAGGAAGTAAGGTGTGCTGTGCGGTGCCTTGCAGGTGCTGCTGCTCGGCTGTGTTCTCAAAGCAGATGCCCAGCGCACAGAACCGCTCCTTGTTTGCTCCTGCCGGTGCACAGTCACAGGGGAACACGTCATAAGGGCACGCAGGGAAGGAAGTAAGGTGTGCTGTGCGGTGCCTTGCAGGTGCTGCTGCTCGGCTGTGTTCTCAAAGCAGATGCCCAGCGCACAGAACCGCTCCTTGTTTGCTCCTGCCGGTGCACAGTCACAGGGGAACACGTCATAAGGGCACGCAGGGAAGGAAGTAAGGTGTGCTGTGCGGTGCCTTGCAGGTGCTGCTGCTCGGCTGTGTTCTCAAAGCAGATGCCCAGCGCACAGAACCGCTCCTTGTTTGCTCCTGCCGGTGCACAGTCACAGGGGAACACGTCATAAGGGCACGCAGGGAAGGAAGTAAGGTGTGCTGTGCGGTGCCTTGCAGGTGCTGCTGCTCGGCTGTGTTCTCAAAGCAGATGCCCAGCGCACAGAACCGCTCCTTGTTTGCTCCTGCCGGTGCACAGTCACAGGGGAACACGTCATAAGGGCACGCAGGGAAGGAAGTAAGGTGTGCTGTGCGGTGCCTTGCAGGTGCTGCTGCTCGGCTGTGTTCTCAAAGCAGATGCCCAGCGCACAGAACCGCTCCTTGTTTGCTCCTGCCGGTGCACAGTCACAGGGGAACACGTCATAAGGGCACGCAGGGAAGGAAGTAAGGTGTGCTGTGCGGTGCCTTGCAGGTGCTGCTGCTCGGCTGTGTTCTCAAAGCAGATGCCCAGCGCACAGAACCGCTCCTTGTTTGCTCCTGCCGGTGCACAGTCACAGGGGAACACGTCATAAGGGCACGCAGGGAAGGAAGTAAGGTGTGCTGTGCGGTGCCTTGCAGGTGCTGCTGCTCGGCTGTGTTCTCAAAGCAGATGCCCAGCGCACAGAACCGCTCCTTGTTTGCTCCTGCCGGTGCACAGTCACAGGGGAACACGTCATAAGGGCACGCAGGGAAGGAAGTAAGGTGTGCTGTGCGGTGCCTTGCAGGTGCTGCTGCTCGGCTGTGTTCTCAAAGCAGATGCCCAGCGCACAGAACCGCTCCTTGTTTGCTCCTGCCGGTGCACAGTCACAGGGGAACACGTCATAAGGGCACGCAGGGAAGGAAGTAAGGTGTGCTGTGCGGTGCCTTGCAGGTGCTGCTGCTCGGCTGTGTTCTCAAAGCAGATGCCCAGCGCACAGAACCGCTCCTTGTTTGCTCCTGCCGGTGCACAGTCACAGGGGAACACGTCATAAGGGCACGCAGGGAAGGAAGTAAGGTGTGCTGTGCGGTGCCTTGCAGGTGCTGCTGCTCGGCTGTGTTCTCAAAGCAGATGCCCAGCGCACAGAACCGCTCCTTGTTTGCTCCTGCCGGTGCACAGTCACAGGGGAACACGTCATAAGGGCACGCAGGGAAGGAAGTAAGGTGTGCTGTGCGGTGCCTTGCAGGTGCTGCTGCTCGGCTGTGTTCTCAAAGCAGATGCCCAGCGCACAGAACCGCTCCTTGTTTGCTCCTGCCGGTGCACAGTCACAGGGGAACACGTCATAAGGGCACGCAGGGAAGGAAGTAAGGTGTGCTGTGCGGTGCCTTGCAGGTGCTGCTGCTCGGCTGTGTTCTCAAAGCAGATGCCCAGCGCACAGAACCGCTCCTTGTTTGCTCCTGCCGGTGCACAGTCACAGGGGAACACGTCATAAGGGCACGCAGGGAAGGAAGTAAGGTGTGCTGTGCGGTGCCTTGCAGGTGCTGCTGCTCGGCTGTGTTCTCAAAGCAGATGCCCAGCGCACAGAACCGCTCCTTGTTTGCTCCTGCCGGTGCACAGTCACAGGGGAACACGTCATAAGGGCACGCAGGGAAGGAAGTAAGGTGTGCTGTGCGGTGCCTTGCAGGTGCTGCTGCTCGGCTGTGTTCTCAAAGCAGATGCCCAGCGCACAGAACCGCTCCTTGTTTGCTCCTGCCGGTGCACAGTCACAGGGGAACACGTCATAAGGGCACGCAGGGAAGGAAGTAAGGTGTGCTGTGCGGTGCCTTGCAGGTGCTGCTGCTCGGCTGTGTTCTCAAAGCAGATGCCCAGCGCACAGAACCGCTCCTTGTTTGCTCCTGCCGGTGCACAGTCACAGGGGAACACGTCATAAGGGCACGCAGGGAAGGAAGTAAGGTGTGCTGTGCGGTGCCTTGCAGGTGCTGCTGCTCGGCTGTGTTCTCAAAGCAGATGCCCAGCGCACAGAACCGCTCCTTGTTTGCTCCTGCCGGTGCACAGTCACAGGGGAACACGTCATAAGGGCACGCAGGGAAGGAAGTAAGGTGTGCTGTGCGGTGCCTTGCAGGTGCTGCTGCTCGGCTGTGTTCTCAAAGCAGATGCCCAGCGCACAGAACCGCTCCTTGTTTGCTCCTGCCGGTGCACAGTCACAGGGGAACACGTCATAAGGGCACGCAGGGAAGGAAGTAAGGTGTGCTGTGCGGTGCCTTGCAGGTGCTGCTGCTCGGCTGTGTTCTCAAAGCAGATGCCCAGCGCACAGAACCGCTCCTTGTTTGCCCTTGGTGGTGAAACCATAGGGAGAAGACACATGGGGTAAACTCAGGTGGCTTTTAGTCAGGTGGTATACCTTCCTTTGCTCCAGCCGACCCCCTCCCTGCACCGCAGCACCATGACACTGGGCGCTCACCAATGGTGGCAGAGCGGTAAGTGGTGGAGCCAATCCCAGCACTCTTACACCCAGTGATCATGGTCCTGTCCTCGCCCTCCCCCACCATTATAAGCCCCTTACAGCACCATACCTCTCTTACAGCACCATACCTCTCTTACAGCACCATACCTCCCTCCCTGTTTACAACTGAATGCGCACCGATGGTGGCGGAGCGGTAGGTAGTTGAACCGCTGCCAGCGCTCTTATCCCCGGTGATGATGGTTCTGTCGCTGCCCTCCCCCACCATGATGAGCCCCTTGTTACGAAATATGATGGACTCATGGTATGTCCCCGCGCGGATGAATATCACAAACCGCCCCTCCTTGGGCGCTGCTCCCAACGCGCCCTGTTGCAAGGAGGGGGAAGGGAAACGAGGCGGACAGGGGGAGGCGGACAGGTGGAGGAGGCGTACAGGGGGAGGCGGGAAGGGGAGAAGGGGTTGGGAAAGGCTAAGAGGGGGTGGTTCTGTGCTGCCCTCCCCCACCATGATGAGCCCCTTGTTGCGGAAGATAATAGACTCATCATGGTATGTCCCCGCGCGGATGAATATCACAAACCGCCCCTCCTTGGGTGCCGCTCCCAACGCACCCTGTGGGGGGACGCGGGAGGGGGAATGGGGGGGGCAGTAAGGGGAAAGGGGGAATATGATGGATTCATGGTAGGTCCCCGCGCGGATGAATACCACAAACCGCCCATCCTTGGGTGCTGCTCCCAACGCACCCTGCGCGGGGCTGAGAGAGCAGTGGGGAGGAGGAAAAGGGAGGGGCGGGGCAGTAGGCGGGAAAGGGGAAGAAGATGGATTCACGGTATGTCCCCGCTGAGAGCGCTCCCTGTAGGGGCGAGGGGGTAGGGAAAGGGGAGGGGGAGGAGAACGGGGAAAAGGGAGATGGGGGGAGAAAGGGGAAATGGGGGCCGGGGTAACTCTAACATACACTCACACATGTAGCTCCCTCTCACCTCCACAGTGTTGTATTTCTCCCCGGGCCCAACCACAGCATCCGCCTTAAACGACCCGCGGTTGCCACTCCCCCCTCCTCCCCCCGACCCTCCGCCACTCCCACTCCCCCCTCCTCCTCCCGACCCTCCGCCACTCCCGCTTCCCCCTCCCCCAGACCCTCCGCCACTCCCGCTCCCCCCTCCTCCCCCCGACCCTCCGCCACTCCCACTCCCCCCTCCTCCTCCCGACCCTCCGCCACTCCCGCTTCCCCCTCCCCCAGACCCTCCGCCACTCCCGCTCTCCCCTCCTCCCCCCGACCCTCCGCCACTCCCGCCGCCCCCCTTCCGCTTCCGCTTGTGGTGCCCCACCCCCGTGGGGTGATGCGCGCCCCTGCGCCCGTTCCGCCACAGGTGCGTGTGGTGCCCGCGCGTCACTCCCCCTCCCCCCTGCCCCTTCCCCTCCCCCCAGTGGTTCGGCTGCTTCTCCCTATGCGCGGGGCCCGTGCCTGGCGCGTGGTGCAGGGTTCCGGGGGAGTGGTGCCCCACGGTGGGGAGGTGTTCTGCGGTTTTCTTCCCCATCGTCGTCGCTAGGGGTATCGGCGCGCGCTGCGTTGAATGGTGCGCGGGGATGGGGGAAGGACGGACGGAACGGGGGCTAGAGGGGGGGTAGGCGGAAAGGGGAATAAGGCTCTTCCGCGGGCGCGCTTGCGCCTGTAGCCGTTGCGCCTGTAACCATTGCGCCTGTAGCCCTTGCGCCTGTAGTCCTTGCGCCTGCAGTCCTTGCGCTTGCAGCCCCCTCCGCTGTAGCGCGCCTCGTCTCCGCCACGTGTGGCTCTTCCGCTTCCGCCATTGCCCCACGCCAAACCCCCTTCTCCTTGTCCCATCCACCGCCCCCGCCTCTCCCTCTTCCCCTTCCCCGCCGTCGCTGCCCCACGTCTCCGCGGGAAGCCCAAGGAGCTTGCGCCGTCTGTCCGCCCACTGCTGCGCGCGCGCGTGCTCTCCGCGCATGCGCGCCTGGAGCTCCTTCAGCTGTTCGTACAGCCCCGCCTCCAGCCACTCCGGGTGGTGGTAACCACCCGCTTCTTCGCCCACTTCGCCAACCTCACCGTGGTAACCATCCGCGCTTTCGCCAGGATCACCTCTGCTACTGTGGTAACCACCCTCTAGCGAAGCCTGTCGGGTAACATCGACAGTGGTGCGCAGCTGCCGGTTTCGCCTGCCTGCGGAATCCCGCTGTTGGTCATCGGAAACAGGTGCCTCGCCATCGTCAGCCGCGTCGGCATTGTCAACAGAGTCAGCAGCGGCACCACTATAGTCATCTGATCCGCTTGTGTCACTATCATTATTAGTACTATCGAAACCGTTATCTATGTCAGCATTATTACTTTCGAAACCGTCACCTATGTCAGTACCATCACCGACCAAGCCAGAGCCCTCGCTGGGACCAATATCCGTATCAGAGTCGTCGCCATAACCGTCTGATCCACCGTCGTTACCGTCGCCGTCATCGCTAACGTCGCCGCCATTGTCGCCAGCATCGTCGTAATAATCCGAGCCACTATCGCCGTTTTTGCTTCCACTTGTAAGGGGGGCTGAGTCGTAACTCGCGGTGGTAACACTGCTGCGACCACCACTCACGTTGCTGCCTAAACCGCCGTCGCCATTGTTGTTATCATTCGGACCGCCGCCTGATGCGCTGTAATAGTCTGACCCGCTCCCATAACCGTCACTAATGTCGCCGTTATTGTCGGTAACGTCATCGTAATAATCCGAGCCACTGTCGTCGCCATTCTTGCCAGTAGCTGGAGAATCCGGACGATAACTCGCGCTGCTAACACTGCTGCGACCGTTACCGTCAGCGTCTAAATCACCGTCTTCGTTAGCTGCAGGACTACCATCAGCGTCGTCGTACGAATCGCTACCTACGCTTCCACTACTACTTTGAACGTCCTTAGCGAAATTAGCGTCATTGGAGTAGTTAGTTGAATAATCAGAATCCTCGCCATCCTTACTAGTAACAGTAATACCTTCCGCGGACTTGCTATTAGCTTGCTGGGATGTGCTGCTGTCTTGGGGCGAATTATCGACATCATCATACCCTCTATTGGCACGCTGCGGTTCTTGGTACTCGTCACTGTAGTAATCCGATTCGCTGTCGTTACTGCTTCTATAATCGCGATTGTACTCGTCGTCATTCCCAAAAGACATTTTGCCCTCTCCGGTTGGGATGGACTTGTCACCCACACTGTACGACCCAGACGAGTGCGCCTCGTACAGCGACTGCGCCTGAACCGATTTCGGCCGTTGGTCCGCGCCTTTGAACTGATTTTGCCCCCCCCTTCTATCCCTACCTGTGGGGTAGTCACTGCCTCCGTCTATCGGGTCGTCATACTCGTACTCGTTATAGTCATACACCGGCTGCACCTGCGACCACGCGAGCTGTTGCGATTGCGCTTGTACCTGGTAACCAGTTTGCGGCTGCGCCGGGGTTTGCGGCTGGAGTCCCGTGCTATACTGTACAGCGAGATGCTGCCCCGCCTGCGCCGCCTGCCCCGCCTGTGCTGGGCGCAGCCCCGGCTGCCCCCATTGCGCCGCCTGCCCCCCTTGCCCCGCCTGTTTTGGGCGCAGCCCCACCTGCCCTCTTTGCCCCAACTGCCCAGCCTGTGTTGGGCGCAGCCCCGTCTGCCCCCCTTGCGCCAACTCCCCTGCCTGTGTTGGGCGCAGCCCCGTCTGCCCCCCTTGCGCCGACTGCCCAGCCTGTGTCGGGCGCAGCCCCGTTTGCCCCCCTTGCGCCGCCTGCCCCAGCTTCACTGCCTGTGCGGACTTCCCCGCTTGGCCCGTCTGCCCCGTCTGCCCCGCCTGTGTCGGGGGCAGACCCGGCGACACCGTTTGACCACCCTGCCGCACCTGCCATGGTCGCAACGCCGCTGGTTGTTGCACGGGGGGCCGCAAACCCGCCCCCGCCTGTCCTACGCGCATGCCGACCGTTTGTGCCACCTGTTGACGCTTGACCTGCTGCCCTTGCGCGGCAGAACCGTACCCGCTATAGGCTGACGCGATTGTGACGGCGGCGCTTACAGTGGACTTCACTTGTGTCGATCCCATCTGCGAAATGCCCGGCATGAGAAAGAACAGAGAGACGGGGTATGAAATGCTTGATTCGTACGTGGGGATGAGCAGCAGCGACACGAATGCATGCGCACACACAGAGCCTTTGCACCGATGATTTTCACCACAGCTTAGCAGCAACCGAAAACAACCCACATGCGCCACGTGGCACACGAGCCCCGTACCGTAAGAATGGTTCCCAACTCTGTCTTGAGGATCCCCGGCGCGAACTCTGCGAATCCGGTAACGCAGTTACTGAGTTTCGTCCTGATCGCCGCCAGCTGGAAGCGCAAGTCGTCCCCGCGGGTGCCCGCGCGCAGCTCCAAGTACGCCTCGCGCACCTCCTCTGCCGCGTCCGCGCCCTGGCGGACAAGGCGGTGTTGGGAGGGGAAAGGGAGAAGGGAAAAGGGTTGGGGGTACGGGGAAGAAAGACGAGCGAGATTGTAGAGGGGGAGTGGGGAAAAGAGAGACAGAAGGTGAGGGAGAGGAGGAGCACGGTGAAATGCGGGATCGGGAATGGTGAGAGATAAGAGTTCTTTAGTGAATAATGCTGGCGATCGGGAGATTGGCTGAGTGATTACGGAATTGTAGAACAATGAGATGTTTGTATCTGGTGAATGCAGTCATACCTGCTCAAGGCAATCATCTGAGACAGCTAGGATGAAGTGCTGCTGACTTGGGGCGAAGCTGGAGATGTTGCTCGCTTTTAGCCGTCTCACTACCCGCATCATGCCGAACACCTGTCGAAACACGCACATTGCACAGGAGATTCGGAGCGACATGTTGACGATATTGGCTGGCTACCACACACGGCTACTTTCGGTTCGCGATATTGGGCTGACGCGTTGCACGTGAATGCGCGTCGTTAGAGTTGCTCTCACCTGCAGCTCCATGCGGACGAGCATGGCCGCTGTGACATCCTGCTGCTGCTACGTGATAAAAGTTGAGTGTTGAGACGTCTCAAAACAAAACACGCCTCTTTGGAGTTGCTCTCACCTGCAGCTCCATGCGGACGAGCATGGCCGCTGTGACGTCCTGCTGCTGCTACGTGATAAAAGTTGAGTGTTGAGACGTCTCAAAACAAAACACGCCTCTTTGGAGTTGCTCTCACCTGCAGCTCCATGCGGCCGAGCATGGCCGCAGTGACGTCTCTTGAGGCGCCTCAAAAGTGTCGCCTTTCGAGGCGCCTCAAAACGCGTCGTTAGAGTTAACTTCACCTGCTGTTCTACGCGCACGAGCATGGCCGCAGTGACGTCCTGCTGCTGCTACGTGATAAAAGTTGAGTTTTGGGACGACTCGAAACAAAACACGCCTCTTTTGGGTTGCTCTCACCTGCTGTTCTACGCGCACGAGCATGGCTGCGGTGACGTCCTGCTGCTGCTGCGGCATCACCCCCAGCGACCGCCGCGCGCTGCGGAACTCCGTCAAGCACTCCGCCACCCGCGGAGACCCCGCGGGTCCCGCGCATCCCGCCGGAGGGGTGATAACCAGGAAGTTGTCTAGAACGTGCCACGTGGCAGCGGCGGCCACGGCAAGGAAAACGGCTATTGCTAATCGGGGAGCGAGCTGCTCCATGTGTCCTTTTCTTACTGGACGCTGACGTGTCTGCTTCCACGCTGATCAGCTCTATAACACTAAGGTGGGAAACATCGTGAATGCAAGAGGGCCGGTGGGGGAACTATTTTATGAAACGCCAGCACATAGAAAAGTTCGAATGAAATTCGCCGATTCGAACTTGTCGAACTTGTTTACTTCTCGTGAACAGCAAGGAGGTCTAAAGGTGAGGCCGGTGGCCAGTGCGCTGAGGCATCACATACGGCGCGTGTCGCACTCGAGTCGAGAGAACCATGTCAAGAGTCAAGGATACACGTCAATACAGCATCCGGACAACCTCGATGGGTCATCCCTGCCCGTTGTGATTTCAACGGTGGGTGGGAGGGAGACGAAGTAGCATAGCCCCAAGTGATCTGATCATCTGAGTCCAAACTGAGGATGAAGTGGTTGAGTTAGCTTAGCAGGCTTGTGTTAGGAGAAAGGATGGACTATGGGGCTAGCCGGACCCGCGCTTCCACACACACGCAGCCTGACCTACTGCTGATGAGATGGGTGACATGTGCTGGCGTTTGCCCCTCCGTTACAACCACCTCCTGTTGCTCAGCTCACATGCTTGAGAGATGCTGTGTGTGGAAGCGCGGCTCCGGCTAGCCCCAATGCCACGCGAACATGCGCGCTCCGTATACGCGATTCGAATATTTGACGCCTATTGGTGGACTCAGCCCCTGTGTGCAGGGCACATTGATCAACCCAGCGCCATCGACGGAAAGTGATAACAATTCTTGATGCGAAACTGTGGTACATGTAACACGAACTTACATTTCCAAATAACAAAACTCCTTCACGACATCTTCATGTACATACCTCATTCCTACCATTCACTCCTCACTCACTTTGTACAATAAATAATACCAGCTGCTGAAGGTTTGAAATTCAGCTCAATAATATAGCAAATCAAACAAGCTGAAAATCGCAGAAAACAAAAAACGAAATACAAAATATTATACATCACACAACCAGCAATATATGGTGTGTTGTTTATCCCTGTCCCAGCATTGCGACGAATACATCGCACATGGTTGCTCTTGATCACTACATTCCCGTGCCAAGGAAATACCGAGGGCAGTGAGGCAGAGACCAAGGAACCAGGCCAGGCTTTGCCCACGAAGCTCTCCCTGGTGTAGCACCAGCAGCAGCACCTTTCCCACCAATACCACCCACATGGCCACCACCATCAGCAGTAGCAGGAGCGCTGCTAGCCGCAGCAAAACCACCGGCACCAGCAGCAGACCCCCCAGCAGCAGCAGCACCAGCAGAAGAACCCCAAAAAGCACCAGTGCCAGCAGCAGCAGCAGCAGCGTGAGGGGCACCGGGGCCAGAGCTGCCGGTCTCGGCATAGTAGACACAGTCGCCACGTGGGTCGCCATTCCACGTGCTCCACCCTGCTCCCTGAATGATCTGGCCGGGGATATGTATGGGGGTACAGACAGAATGTGAACAGCGCGAGGGGCACCGCGGCCGGAGCTGCCATTGTTCCAGTTCGACTGAATAGCACGAGGAACACTTTCCCATCTCACCACTCCAGCATGCCTCTGTGCTTCTTTGACTGCTCCTGAACCTGCAGCTGGAGTGGGGCTGTCAGTAGAACAGCATTTCTCGCACCCCATAGCACATATGAACTTGTGATTCATAGAATTTTGCCGTTCTCACTGCACCGCAAGCACACACAATGCACCGCAAGCAGATACACGGCACCGCAAGCACACACACTGCACCGCACGCACACTGGACCGCACTGCGCCGCACGCACATACGCTGCGCCGCCCGCACACACGTTGCGCTGCCCGCACATACGCTGCGCCGCCCGCACATACGCTGCGCAGCCCGCACACACGCTGCGCCGCCCGCTCACACGCTGCGCTGCCCGCTCACACGCTGCGCCGCCCGCTCACACGCTGCGCCGCCCGCTCACACGCTGCGCCGCCCGCTCACACGCTGCGCCGCGCGCTCATACGCTGCGCCGCGCGCTCATACGCTGCGCCGCGCGCTCATACGCTGCACCGCTCGCTCATACGCTGCGCCGCTCGCTCATACGCTGCACCGCTGGGACTGGAGCTGCAGTCCCAGCAGGGGGACTGGAGCTACAGTCCCAGCAGGGGGACTGGAGCTGCATTCCCAGCAAAGGGACTGGAGCTGCAGTCCTAGCAAGGGGACTGGAGCTGCAGTCCCAGCGAGGGGACTGGAGCTGCAGTCCCAGCAAGGGGATTGGAGCTGCAGTCCCGGCGAGGGGACTGGAGCTGCAGTCCCGGCAAGGGGACTGGAGCTGCAGTCCCAGCGAGGGGACTGGAGCTGCAGTCCCAGCGAGGGAACGCTCATACGCTGCACTGCCCGCTCATACGCTGCACCACAAACACATCCACTGCACCGCACTCACATGCACTGCACCGCACTCACATACACTGCACCGGAAGCACGTACATGCTCTGCATGGGGATGGGGGTTGAGTAGGCATGCACATGAGGATGGGCATGTGGATGGGGATGGCAAAGGCATGATCATTCCCGTGCACATACCATAACATTAAACAAGCAAGACTCGAGAGAAGCGCACTCGAGACCACGAAGCCAAAAACTCACCGCAGGCAGGTAATTGCCGGTCATCACCACCACCCGTGCACAGAGCTTCCACGCCCTGGTTCTGAGACGACTCAAAGGTCGACTCAAAATTCAGCTCAAAAGTCAGCTCGTTACAATGTCACACGGCGTGATTGCCAGTCATCACCACCACCCGTGCACATAGCTTCCACGGCCTGGTTCTTAGACGACTCAAGGGCCTAAATCCGAAAGGAAACTCGCTGAGAGCCGCTGACGACTCACCTTTGGAAAACAATTGCCGATCATCACCACCCGTGAGCCATTCTTCCACGGCCATTCTTTCACGGCCGCCCAAACGAGCCCTCCTTCACCCCCTCCTGGCCACCACTGTGCCTGCTGCACACTCGTCACCACACTCACCGCAGGCCGGTAATTGCCGATTATCACCACCACTCGTGCACAGAGCTTCCACGCCCTGGTTCTGAGACGACTCAAGGGCCTTAATCCGTAAGAGAAAAGAGTGAGAAAACTCACCTTTGGAAGGTAATTGCCGATCGTCACGACCCGCGAGCAATTCTTCCATGGCCGGAATATGAATTGAAACGCTAGTGCATGAACACAGTTCATGTTGCAAACTCACCGCAGGCAGGTAATTTCCGATCATCACGACCTGTGAGCAATTCTTCCACGGCCGCCCAAACGATCCCTCCCTCACCCCCTCCCCCGCCGTCACATTACACCCGCGAATAACAATCCCCGTGGGGGTATTAGACTCCCTCCCAGACGCCGTGATCACAGCCGTCGATTTCCCCGAGCGCATCTCCACCGTCGATCGGTCGATCAGTGCCGCCGCATCCCCAAAGATGAAATCCGTGAACCCCGAGATGTAACAGCTGCTGTAGTACTGCCGCCCGGCGTCCACACATAGCGTGTCCTGATGGCCTGTGATTGCAGAGTCATAGACATAAGAACGGTCGGCGGAGATCTTGAGAGCCACTGCCTGCTTGCCACGTGGCCCTGCTGTGTTCTCTATCCGGATTCCCACTGCCATGAAATTTCCTCGGTCCACCGCTGCAGGTGAGAGAGGGTGTGAGCGACAGGACGGGAGACAGAAGGAATGGCAGACAAGAAGGAAGACAGAAGGGGAGACAGACAGAGCATTGTGACAGGGCCACATGACAGGGCCCTGCTGTGTTCTCCATGCCTATCCCCACTGCCATGAACCAGCCCCGGTCCACAGCTGTAAGTGAGAGAGGGAGGGGGGATGAGTGTGAGGGAGGGGGGATGAGTGTGAGGGAGGGGGGATGAGTGTGAGGGAGGGGGGATGAGTGGGAGGGCGTATCAACAGTGACAGGACCACATGGCAGACGAGGCATACCAAGAGTGGCAGAGCCGTACGTGGATGCGCCGTCAGCCACGCTGGCGTTGGCAGTAATTATAGTGCGGTCAGCTCCCTCCCCCACCAGCATGCACTGACGAGCACTGAGAGCCTCGAGAGTGCTGAGAGCATTGAGGCACTGGCAGCATGGGAAGCATACCTACAGATGGCAGAGCCGTACGTAGATGCGCCGCCAGCCACGCTGGCGTTGGCAGTGATGACAGTGCGGTCATCTCCCTCCCCCACCAGCATGGAGTGGTGAGCATTGCGAGGAGTGAGAGCAGTGAAAGCAGAGGAATCGTACCAAGAGTGGCAGAGCCGGACGTGGATGAGCCGCCAGCCACGCTGGCGTTGGCAGTAATAACAGTGCGGTCAGCCCCCTCCCCCACCAGCATTGAGAGCACTGAGAGTGTTTACAGCACGGGAATGAGAGTCAGGGCGTACCTACAGTGGCAGAGCCATATGTGGACGAGCCGCCAGCCACGCTGGCATTGCCAGTGATGATAGTGCGGTCAGCTCCCTCCCCCAGCAGCACCACGCCCTCCCTGCCCACACGCACCTGCTCCCTGTACCGCCCTGCTTGGATAAAGATGACGTAGGGGCGAGGGGTCTCGGCGGCCTGCATTGGGGGAGCTGCGTCAAGTGCTTGCTGTAAAGGGGAAAGGGGGTGGGAAAGAGGAAGGGGAGGTCGAGAGGGTGCGTATGAGGGTGTAGTGGGCCCCTCCCGGAGAGGGCCTCCCCCAGCAGCACCTTTCCTTCCCTCACCACGCGCACCAGCTCCCTGTACCGCCCTTCTCTGATAAAAGATGATGTATGGGTGAGGGGTGGTAACTCCCTGGCTTTGGGGTGCTGCGTCCAGTGCTTGCTGTGGAGGGAAGGGAGTTGGGGCCGAGGAGGGGAAGAGGAGGGAAGGCGAGAGTGGTGTAAGCGCACCCACGCGCACCCACGCGCACCCACGCGCACCTGCTCCCGATACCGCCCTGCTCGCATGAAGATGACGTAGGGGCGAGAGGGCCCAGTGGCTTGGCTTGGGCGTGGGGGAGCTGCATCAAGTGCTTGCTGTGGAGGGAAGGGAGTTGGGGACGGGGAGGGCAGGGGGGAGGAGGGAAGGGAGGGTGCGGATGAGGACGATATAGAGACGAGCAGCACTGCAGTGACGGAGCTACGCCAGCAGAGAATCGCCTATTCAAGTGACTCAAGAATTCTCACAAGTGAGAGGAGAGGGAGGGAAGGGAGAATTAGAGACGAGCGGATGAGGATGATTGAGAGACGAGCGGCACTGCAGTGAGAGCAGTGGCAGTGGGAGTTTCCTGCTACAGAGCTAAGCTTGCCCCTGCTAAGCAGTGGCAGCGAAGTTTCCTGCTACAGAGCCAAATGAGGTGATTCTTGAGGCGCCTCAAAAGTCACCGCAGTGGCAATGGGAGTTTCCTGCTACAGAGCCAAGCTTGCCGCCCGCTCGCCTTCCCGCCCTGTGCACCACTTTACTCCCCAACGCCGCCACCCATCCAGCCTCAATCCCACGCCTCCTGCCAACACCTGCCTGCACTCCTCACTCACCTGAAAGCGTGTGTATTGCTCCCTACGCCCCGCCACTGCATCCCGGCTCAACGCCACGCCTCTTGCCCCCACCCCACCTGCCAGCCTGCCTGCCTACCTTCCTCCTGCACTCCTCGCTCACCTGAATGCGTGTGTACTGCTCCCCTCGCCCCACCACCGCATCCAGAATCAGTCCCACGCCTCCTGCTGCCACCCCCACTGCCCCTGCCCCTGCCCCTACCCCTACCCCTGCCGCTATTCTCTTCTGGAAGGCCTTTATCTTCTTGTACAGCCCCACGTTCACCCACGCTGGCGCCTCATAACCCTCGGCCCCCCCTCCCTGCTGCTTTCCCTGCTGCTGCCGCTGCTGCTCGAGGGATTTTTGCTGCTGACACGTGGCAGGATCCAAGAGTGGCACGTCAGCAGAGGCCAGAGCTACAGCAGTTTCGAGAAGAGACTCGCACTGATCGGTTACATTCTGCGGAGGAGGGGAGGGAAGGGCGCAAGGGGGGGGGAGAGGAAGAGAGGAGGGTGGAGGGTGAGGAGGGTGGAGGGTGGAGGGTGGAGGGTGGAGGATGGGAGCGGGCGAGGCGAGGGAATAGGCAGATGGAGCAGCACCCTCTGCCTGCCGTTACATCATCGTAAAGCCATCCCCCCTGTGTGCATGCAGCCCACCACCATGCGGCTATCCCCCAGTGATGGCCAGGTGAAGTAGCTGAGAGCGCCCATGCAGTTGCGCACCTGGCGCTTGAGTAAAGAGCGCAGCTTGTGTTCTATTCCGGCCGGGCTGTCTCACAACTCACTCACTGTGAGGGCGTTCCCAGGCTGGGACTGCAGCGACGGCGGAGTGAAGTAATTGAGCGCGCTCATGCATGCAGGGAGGCAGTCAGGGCTGTGATTGGCGCCTCATTCATAACTGTGAGGGCATCCCGGCCTGCCCAACCCACAACGCAACTCACTGTGAGCGCAGCCCCAGCCTGGGACTGCAGCGACGGCGGAGTGAAGTAATTGAGCGCGCTCATGCATGCAGGGAAGCAGTCAGGGCTGTGATTGGCGCCTCATTCATAACTGTGAGGGCATCCCGGCCTGCCCAACCCACAACGCAACTCACTGTGAGCGCGCCCCCAGCCTGGGACTGCAGCGACGGCGGAGTGAAGTAATTGAGCGCGCTCATGCATGCAGGGAGGCAGTCAGGGCTGTGATTGGCGCCTCATTCATAACTGTGAGGGCATCCCGGCCTGCCCAACCCACAACGCAACTCACTGTGAGCGCGCCCCCAGCCTGGGACTGCAGCGACGGCGGAGTGAAGTAATTGAGCGCGCTCATGCATGCAGGGAGGCAGTCAGGGCTGTGATTGGCGCCTCATTCATAACTGTGAGGGCATCCCGGCCTGCCCAACCCACAACGCAACTCACTGTGAGCGCAGCCCCAGCCTGGGACTGCAGCGACGGCGGAGTGAAGTAATTGAGCGCGCTCATGCATGCAGGGAGGCAGTCAGGGCTGTGATTGGCGCCTCATTCATAACTGTGAGGGCATCCCGGCCTGCCCAACCCACAACGCAACTCACTGTGAGCGCGCCCCCAGCCTGGGACTGCAGCGACGGCGGAGTGAAGTAATTGAGCGCGCTCATGCATGCAGGGAGGCAGTCAGGGCTGTGATTGGCGCCTCATTCATAACTATGAGGGCATCCCGGCCTGCCCAACCCACAACGCAACTCACTGTGAGCGCAGCCCCAGCCTGGGACTGCAGCGACGGCGGAGTGAAGTAATTGAGCGCGCTCATGCATGCAGGGAGGCAGTCAGGGCTGTGATTGGCGCCTCATTCATAACTGTGAGGGCATCCCGGCCTGCCCAACCCACAACGCAACTCACTGTGAGCGCAGCCCCAGCCTGGGACTGCAGCGACGGCGGAGTGAAGTAATTGAGCGCGCTCATGCATGCAGGGAGGCAGTCAGGGCTGTGATTGGCGCCTCATTCATAACTGTGAGGGCATCCCGGCCTGCCCAACCCACAACGCAACTCACTGTGAGCGCAGCCCCAGCCTGGGACTGCAGCGACGGCGGAGTGAAGTAATTGAGCGCGCTCATGCAGTTGCGCATCTGCCGCTGCGCCGCCGCCAGCCAGTACGGCACGTCAACCATTCCGCTTCCGCTGCTGCCGCCTGCGCCACCGCCAGTTGCGCCGCCGTTTCCGCCGCCGGTGGAGCCAGCTGCTGCGCCGCGCGCTGATTCCGAGGAGAGTCGATCGGCCGCCAGTGCCAAGTGGTACAGCGCGATTCCCGCCTGATCAGCGCATTCCTTCGTTATTATCTCTGTGTACTTAGTCCTAATCGTCACGTTGGCTTTAATCTCCTCGAGCAGCGGCAGAGCCGCGCGGACTTGCGTTTGGACCCGTTGCACTAGAGCGCGAATCACGGCGCTTCTGGAGGCGGGGGTTGCGCCTAGAGATAGCCGCGCGACGCGGAATTCGGACACGCATTTCGTTTCGTTGAGAGCAGAGAGGCATTCCCGAGGCGCGCGGAAAACGTAATAGTCGTCTGCGATGAAGTACAGGAAGGAAAGACAAAACGCAACCGCGGCTGTAACGGCAAACGCTCGGAAGCTTCGGCCGATGACAGGACTAGTGAAAACCGTAGACTTGGAGAGTCCAGGCAGCGGAGTCGCGAAAAAGCTTTGCATCGTGGCTTGCGGAAGCAATGGCTTCACCTTACGGTGGGCTAGTCGCATCATGTCTCGTCTCTGTTCGTGATAGTCCCTACGATCATCATGGCGGCGCGGGATGTGACGAATTGCTGTTCCGGCTGAGGTGAAAGCAAAGAGGCGAGGATGGGAATGGGATTGAGGAGTGATGCGGGAAAACCGCGATTCAGCGTTTGAAAAGCTGTTCACTTGAAACAGAGCAGAGAGATGGTGTGGTCAGACCCCCAACCCGAATTTGATATCATGTGACGATTTTGAATCTCATACAAACACCCCCCCCAAATGTTTTGAATTTGGATTCGGTGACCGTAATTTTCAAGGACTCGATAGAAATCCGGGACTGGCTCAATTTGGTACAGCAGTTTAGAGAATAAATCGAAAGTTAAGCACAGCACCCATACTAAGAAAGATCCTGACATTAGAGAACTGCCCCTGCCACTAGAAGTGGCTAATATATGGGCTTCCCAAGGCATAGAGCAGGGAAGGCACAGGGGAAGCTAAACACAGACAGACCAAAATGTAAGTTTCAAGCATAGTTGGTTGGCTGGTGAGGTTTGGCGGGAGAACTGGCTGAAGAGGCCAAGGCCACTCCTGTACAGCAGGTGCCCAGCTGGTAGGCAGTACCAGCAGGCAACTGGTCAGTGGTCTGGTCTGGTCTGGTCTGGTCTGGTCTGGTCTTTACTTGAGAATACCGTCCACCACGTTCAGCCACTTGCTCAGTTCCAAAAACGTCTGCGGCCCAAATTGCTTCGCATCCGAAATAATCCCCGGCTTGGCCCACGAAGCACGCTGGCTGGCTGCTCCTGGCCCCGTGCTGCCCTTCTCAGCGTAGTAATGGCAGCTTTTCGGCTTGCCCCCGTTCCACGTGCTCCACCCGTCCGGCTGAATCTCCTTGGGGAGGTTCGTATCGACGTACACGACGCGCGCACAGTCCTTCCACGGACGGCCCAGATACGCCAGCCGAACGCCGCTCTCCGATTGGACCTTCCCCGAGCGAATCACAATCCCGGTGGGCGTATCACTCTCCCGCCCGGACGCCGTAATCTGCACCTTTTTCTTCCCTGCCCGCAGGAAAATAGTCGGCGAGTCGATCAGCGCCGCAGCATCCCCAAATATGAAATCCGTGAACCCCGAGATGTAACAGTTCTTGTAGTACTGCCGCCCGGCGTCCACGCAGAGCGTGTCCTGGTAACCCGTGATGGCGCTGTCGTAGATGGCGGAGCGATCGCCACTGACCATCAGCGCGACCGCCTGATTGCCTTCCGGCCCGGCCTCGTTCGCAATGGTGAGACCCACCGCCATGAACCCATCCTTGTTGGCGGCTGGGGGGGCGGACAGGGGAAAGAATGGGGGCGGATACAAGGGGGGGAGAACAGGGTTAGTCGTCGCCGCTCACCAGCGCCACCGCCTGATAGCCCTCCGGCCCAGCCCCGTTGTCAATGGTGAGACCCACCGCCATGAACCCGTCCTTGTTCGCGGCTGGGAGGAGTGGGGAATGGGGGGCAACAGCATTACTCGCCTCGCTCACCATCAGCGACGGAAATAACCAAGGGGGGAAATTGAAGGGTGACGGAAGAGAGAACCAAGTGTGGGAGCAACTTACTGACGGTAGCAGAGCCGTAGGTGGACGATCCGCCGGCGACGCTATCGCTGTTGGTGATGATCGTTTTGTCCTTGCCCTCGCCGATCAGAATAATGCCCTCCTTATTGATCACCAGTTGTTCCTTGTACCTCCCCGCCTTGATGAATATAACGAAGCGGCCTTTAGACGGGGCAGCTTTTAACGCGCCGGAGATTTTGTTGTATTTTTCACCCTTGCCCACCACCGCGTTCGGAGTCAGTTTCGTCGCCGCCTTGGAAGTTCCGCCCTGCAGCTGACGGCGCGCATTTCCCATCAATTTTTCCGTCTCGCTCCGCTCCAGGACGCGCCTGCCGCGTTCCGCCCACGTTCCCGCGGCTTCTGCGTCGCCCACGAGGTGCGCTTGGAGCTCTTTGATTTGTTCGTACAGCCCCTCCTCGACCCACGTGGGTCGTCCCTCCGACTCGGGTGTGTCGTCCACGTGCTCCATCGTCTGGCGACCGCGCTGTGCGACTTGCGCCATCGCCGCCTTCGCGCCGTTTGTCGCCAGAGCTACGGCGGCGTCGTACGTGGCCGCTGAGCGATGGATCACCGACTGGCGGAGGGGGTCAGTTCACGGATCAGAGAAGGGAATTGCAAGTTTGGGATAGGGATCGTCACTAAGAGGCAAGTCGGCTGTTGGAGTAGCCCTGGTTATGCAGAATTACGCTTGGTTTACTGTTCTTGGTTATACCTCTGGGTTACCGTGAGTCCGCGATCGTTGCGACTTACATTAAGCATGACGCCGGAGGGCGTGTTGAGAGCCGCGGGGGCGAATTCCTGGAAGCCGTCGAGGCAGTTACTCATCTGCCGCCTCGCCGCCGCCAGCCAATACGGCACGTCCTCCTGGTTGCTGCCGGCCGCCAGCGCCGCCGACGCCTTGCCCAGATGGTACAGCGCCGTGTCGCTCTGTCGCTCGCAGTCGCCTGCGACGACGTTTCTCATGCGAACGTTGGCGAAGTTCATTCGCCTGATCTCCTGGGCGAAGGATTGGATCGCATGCGCTCGCGCGGAGAGGGAAGTGACCATGGCTGCGCTCGTTGCGCTGATCGGCCTTGGGAGTACCCCGAGCGATCGACGGGCGACGCGAATCTCCTCCGCGCATGCCGCCGGGTCAAGCGTGGATGAGCAGACGGAGGGGTGTCTTATAACGAAGTAATTGTCGACGGCGTGACAGGCGGCAAGGAGCGCTATAGCGAGGCCCAGACCCGCGGCGAGCCATTTGAGCCTGCAGCCATTGCAAGCCATGGCGGCTAGGCGACGAGGTACCGAGGAAACGAGGCGAGGACAGACGAGGGCAAAACGAGAGGAGGCTTGTATGCCGAGAAAATGTTCGCTAAATAGGTCGAGTGCTCCACGCTCAAGTCAGAAGTTATACGCCCATAGGATAATCGTAGAACTGTGGTGAGGTACGATGAGTCCTCACTTATATTGTGTGGAGAATGCTCTGGAGGAAAGAAAGCATGGCGAGGCGTTACATAATCAGAAGCAGGGACACAGGTCGAATCGGTTTGAAGGGGCTGGAGCCGCATGGAAGCGAGAGACTGCCCTTGCCGAGCCGACCAACAACAGCCCCCAGAGGAAGGCGCGATGTAGGGGAGGGGGAGAATTGGCAGGGGGTGTGCTGCTGATGCAAGAAATTCTGGTTACCAAGGGCTGGTAATTCTGGGGTGGACAGGACACGTCACGTCACATGTCACGACGACACGCCTCACTGGAAGCTGAAACTCGTTTGTTTGGAACTTCCAACCCAATCCGAGTCGTACAGGTAACATCCAGAACAAATTTCCGGAATTTGTCGCGTCGAGAGGAGCGCAAATTACTATTGGCTGGACGACCGGCGCCCGAGAAGGATGCGGCTGCGGAAAGGCCTTTACGATGGTGACGAGATGTTACAACCATCTCGAGGCTTTTCGGAATGTTCGCATCCAGGGGCTGGTGGGGCGATTGTGCTCAAATGAAAAACGAGTGGCACCGCAATGTGAGAAAACCAAGGAGCATCGAGCCGCTTTGACCCTTTTATGAAGCAAGCGACTCGCCAAGGTGGCGAGGAAATCGACGGCGATGCGATGGTAGACAGGAAAGCCCCTGCATCTGTAAAAGCGGCATCGAGGCGCAAAGTTGACAATAAAGAGGCTCGTAGATTCGCTTCAATAAACGAGTTGCCCAATGTCGAAAATCAGGTCGCATGCAATCACTCAAGCACCACGGGCGTGTGCCTGGCGTGTGATACACTTGAGATACAGTTACCTTCGCTATTGGCAATGCTGTGCTGGGCGGCAACTCACACAAAGAACACATCGCTACGGGCAAGGATGTGTCCACTGTATATATACACATGAAGCTAGTTATAGCACGTTTGAACGCTTAACACAAAGAGGACCCATTGTTGCTGTAAGAACTTCCATATTACTCTTCACTCAAACCTGTGCAAGTCACTATCACCGAACATTATAGCTGCTTTGCACGTTCAAAAGATGAGTTCTTTTTATTATTTACACTTTCATGAAGGCGTTGTGGAACATAAGGGCTCATAATTTGAAGCGCAAATCAATAAACGACCTGATGGTATGGAAGCATGGCTGAGATGTGGAAGCTCCGTGAGGTGAGCTTCTATACGCCTGATGGAACAGAGGTACTATTGGACGTGTGCAGACAAGAAACCCAATGTTTGGGTGCCAGTGGCAACCTTTCCCCTTGTTCAGCTGCACTGGTGTGAAAGTGTGCCTTATCATCTACATCACAGCATACATACATACAACTATCACATACTTATTCCCACCACAACTTCCGTTGACAAAAACCTACACTGCTAAGACTCCCCAGCCGTCCCTACAGCCACCTAAACTACGTATCACCTCACCACTTGGGGTTCTTCCCCGCAACATCGAGCCACGTGCTCAGATCAACAAACGGCTCGGGATCAAACTGGGAGGCGTCCGAGATGATCCCAGGGTGCACCCACGATGCTCGCGAGGTGCGAGCTCCCGGCCCCGTGCTGCCCTTCTCTGCATAGTACACACAGCTGCCGCGCGTGTCCCCTCCCCACGTGCTCCACCCGTCTGCGTTGAGCTCCTGAGGTGACGGAGGGGAGAAGCGAGAGGGAGAGGGGGGCATAGCATGCACAAGTCAGAGTCGGCAATGCTAGCCTGTGCGTGCAGAGAAAGGAAGGGGGTTACACTCATACCGTGCCGATACTCACACAGCAGGCACAGCAGCATCATCTCACATCAGGCATGTCAGCACAAACCATTCCCATGGTTATCCTCCTAGCACAAAACAAAGTCCCATGTCAACTCACAGCAGGCATGTACGTGTCGACGTAAACCACGCGCGCACAGATCTTCCACGGCCGCCCCAGGTACACGTCCCTAACACCAGCATCCGCGCTGATCTTCGAGTTCCGAATCACAATCCCCGTGGGGCCGTTGGTGTCACCATGCCACCCTCCTAGCACAAAAGCAAAACCCCAAGTCCACTTACAGGAGGCATGTAGGTGTCCACGTAAACCACGCGCGCACAGCTCTTCCACGGCCGCCCCAGATACACATCTGTAACGCCCGGATCCGCGCTGATCTTCGAGTTCCGGATCACAATCCCCGTGGGGCCGTTAGTGTCGCGGCCAGACGCCGTGATGGTGACGAAGGAGTGGCTCGTGTGAAGCCGGATCTCAATGTTGTCGAGAACCACGGCCGCGTCGCCGAAGATGAAGTCGATCGTGCCGCCCACGTAGCAGTTCTTGTAGTACTGCCGCCCGGCGTCCACGTATAGCGTGTCCTGGTGGATGGGAGTGGGGAGAGGTGAGAATGCAGGGCATGAGATGGGCATACGAGTTGCCTGCTGCAAGCCATGTAAAGCCCTTGCAGGCAAATGAAACCAACTCATTGTTCGTGGTTTTCTGTGCCGTTCACGAAAGTATTTAGCTCGTGGTTTCGAGAAGCACGGTTACATGGTTTCGCCACTGACCTGGAAGCCCTCGAACGCGCATTCGAAGAAGGCGGAAGCGTCCCCGCTCGCGCGCATCGACACCGCCTGCTCGTTCTCGCGCCCCGCCGTGTTCACAAACTTCACGCCCAGCGCCACGAAGTTGTCGCGGTTCGCCCCAACGGTCGCCGATTTGAACGTCGTTCCCGACCCGCCGCCCATGCTCTTGCTGCCCGTGATTATCGTCCGATCCGGCCCGTCTCCCACGAAGATGATCCCCTCGTTATCGAACTGAACCACTTCGTCGTACGTCCCCGCCTTTATGTAGATAACGAAGCGGCCCTTTTTGGGAGCGGCGTTCACGGCGGATTTCACGCTCGAGTACTGCTCCCCGCTGCCCACCACCGCGTCGGGCTTCAAGCTCGGGGTGTACGAGCCGCTGGATACACCGCCGCTGCCGCTGCCGCCGCCGCTTCCGCCTCCTCCGGGCTTGCGGTTCTTCCCCTTCCCCGGGTGGTGCCCCACCCCCTTCTTGTGGTTTCCTCCGACCTTCTTCCCGTTTTTCCACAGATGCGCGTGCCCGCCGATACCGGGGGCATGATTTCCCCCTTTCTTCTTCCCGTTCTTCCATAGCTGCTTGTGCCCCCCGACGCCTTTGGGATGACCGCCCTTCTTTCGCCCGTTATCCCAAAGAGAGGCGTGGTGCCCCTTGGTTCTCAACTCCCGCCGGCGGATCTCCGCAGGCGCGGGGAGCCCGAGCAGCCCGCGGCGCTTCTCCGCCCACTCTTGCGCGCCGTCGTGGTCCCCCTGCATGTGCGCCTGGAGCTCCTTCAGCTGTTCGTACAGCCCCGCCTCCAGCCACTCGGGGTGCCCGTTGCTCTCGCCGCCATTCTCTAGCGCCTGGCGGCCGCGCGACGAGCGCGCTGCGGTGGCGGCTTGCGACGTGAGGTCGATGGCAGCGACGAGCGTTGACTTGGTCAACGCGCCCTGCGACGCGAGGTAAACGCCCGTGGGGGTGGAGAGCGCGGACGGCGCCAATTCGCGGTACGCCGAGAGACAGTTGGTGAGTTGGGTCTGCGCCGTCTGCAGCCAGTAGGGCAGGTCTATCACGTTGCTTCCGGCGCTGATCGCGGAGGAAGACTTCTCGAGCTGCGCCAGCGCCGCACTCACCTGCCGCCGAAAAAAAAACACTTTGATAGATTAGAAGACAACTAAAAAAATGAAAAATCCCACTTAGCTGATGTGTGAATAAGGCTGGGATTCGGGAAAATATAGGAGCTGGTTGAGGTGCGGATAGTGCGGTGCGGTGGCCTCACCATCAAATCCGGGAACCGTCGCGTACCTGGGTCACACAGTCGTCGCTGACGGCGTCAACCTCCGCAATCCGGCCCGCGTTGGCCGTCTGAATCTCCTTCACCAGCTCCAGTCCCGCCGCCACCTTCGCGCGCGCCGATTCGATCATCGCCGCCGTCACCTGCTGGGTCGACGCGGGCGCCGCGCCGAGGGAGCGGCGCGCGATGCGATACTCCGAGACGCAGACTTCGTGGTTGGAGGACGCGGCGCAGACGGGCGGGTGACGGACGACGTAGAAGTTGTCGATGGCGTGTAGAGCGGCGACGGACGCGAGAGTCACGGCCACCGCGATTGTGAGCCACTTGAGGCCGAATCTGGCGAGCACGGTACCCGTGCCCATTGTGACGCTCGTGTAAGACAAACTCAGTCGAAAAAGCTCATGCAATTGAGGAAAGTCTTGACTCGCAAAGAGGGAAACTCGATCTGAAGAATGGTAGAAGAGGAAATTGTTGTGTTTGGAATTCACAGACACGGGATTTTGTAGCTGGTGAATTCGGGTGGAGGGACAAGGGGGGGGGGGATGGGATGAGATGAGATTGAGATGGTGGGAGGGCAAATTCGTGGTCGGAATTTACAGCGTTCAGGGGATTTCGAAACACGGCAACGAACAACAAATTCGTCAGTTCCTACGACGGTAACCATTTTGCGAAATCCGCGAGGAGGGAGCA